GTGAATAATGCATACTGCATAATGATTAAATTATAGCTAATTAAACTTACTTAATTTTAAACATTTTCAAATTATGAAGGAAAATGTCAAGTAAGATAACTCCAAGTTCTATCCTAAATGTGCAACGTAGTCCATTTCATTTGAAATATTTCACATTTTTCACCTAATTTTTCCCGAGAATTGTATTTAGCCCTAGCTAGGGCGTACACAGGACTTTTCCAGGGGGNCAGTTTTCTAGGGGGGTTTGCCCCGATATACCCCCCTGTTTGGCCCCTGAGCCCTAGGATTTTGAAGAATGCCGGCAGCATGCAGAACAGTTTAACTATGCACTAGCTTGGAACCCTCTGGAGTGGGAGAATAGATGATAGATTTATATACATATCTAGTTCATTAATATTAATTATCAACTTAAAACTTGAATTTACATACAGGGTTACCCACAAAAATTGAGACTGCAAAGACGATCATAAACTCTTTATAAATGACGATCCCAAGGTTAAATTGAGTCCTCCGCCTTATATATTGTAATCTAATGGCGTATTTAATAATTTGGCAAAGAAACAAACAAGATTACAGTTACGGGAGTGTCGTGAATATAAGGAAACAGACAGTACATATTCCGTACAGTCGTCTCTCCATGAAGTCTCATCCTTTGTGGATAACCCAGTATCTTATCCTAATCCTATGTAACATGAACAAATTCTTGACAAATGCTTTGGCAGTATTTGTGTAAGTTTGTTTTCAACAGTTCAAGAATTTCAGTCAAATGTTCGAAAACCAATAAATTTTGACCCATTTTTGTTTAATTGAATAATTTGTAATAATAAGATGTAATAATAAAATCTGATCTTTTTCCAATAAATTATTCGGCAATTAAATCTGTTTTGTCATGTAAAATACAACTATATCCATAATTTAACCATTTCAGCAGTTATATGTACAAATTGGAAGTATCTAAATAGTAAAAGGGATAACGGAAATTCACTAGGCACAAACAATTATATAAGTTTAAAATACCTTGACACAAAATTCTATATTTTTTTAAATCTTTAAACATGTCAAAATGTATACACAATACCCAATTTCTACAGGAATTAATACCGGTAGACTTTATGGTGTTGACTAATTGACATGAATATAAATAATACTAGGGTTAAGTATAATTATTTATGATATTTACAAATGGATCCTGATGGGTTGAGCTATAATACGGGGTTTACACAGGTTTATACAGGGTGTCTTGATAATAAAGGTTTATACAGGGTGTCTTGATAATCAAGGTTTATACAGGGGTGATCTTGGTAATAAAGGTTTATACAGGGGTGTCTTGATAATAAAGGTTTATACAGGGTGTCTTGATAATAAAGGTTTATACAGGGGTGTCTTGATAATCAAGGTTTATACAGGGGTGTCTTGATAATCAAGGTTTATACAGGGGTGATCTTGATAATAAAGGTTTATACAGGGGTGTCTTGATAATAAAGGTTTATACAGGGGTGTCTTGATAATAAAGGTTTATGCAGGGTGCCCTGATATCAAGGTTTATACTGGGTGCCCTGATAATCAAGGTTTATACAGGGTGCCCTGATAATTAAGGTTTATACAGGGTGCCCTGATAATTAAGGTTCAAACAGATTGCCTTGATATCAAGATTTATATATTTGCAATACACTGCATTTTTTGTTCTTTCATTTTCCTTCAAATAATATTTAGTTTAAGTAAAGCCAATAATTTCTCAGTGTAACTTGATATCTAGTAAACCCGGCTTTAATATTAAAACTGTGTACAGTGTACAATGTGCATAGTGTACAATGTGTACAGTACAGTGTATAGAGTGTACCATGTACAGTGTACACAATGTACAGTATGTTCAGTGTATAGAGTGTACCATGTACAGTATGTTTAGTGTATAGAGTGTACCATGTACAGTATGTTCAGTATATATTGTATGAACAATATATGGTTTATACAGTGTATATGGCCGGTGTAAAGTGAGGAATGTGCACAAATAAGATTTTTTTATATCATCCTGATTTTAAAAAATCGATGAATAAAGTGATGGTCTTCATGTTCAATGTGTATAGTATAAAGTGGAGCTAGACTTTGTATGTCGACCTTTTAAAGCAATTGTTGGAAAAGAAATACTTTTGGTGGCATTTATAGGATAACATGTTCTCAGTTCTTTAGAATTATTTTCTTTCAATATGTATTTATAGACAATTGATTTAAAATGTTTAGAAAATAGTTTAATAAAGATTTTAACAGGGGGGATGATAGTTCTCTACCTGTGTACTCAGTTAGCTGTACTGTACACTTACAATTCTTTACTAATATTGATATACTATAGGTTAGGCCAGAATCTTATAATAATCAAATATGCAGTACGCTCTCGGTATAGTTCATGGCTTTTATACAATTAGGAAAGGAATAGTGTACATCATCACTCTATAACCTCGTTGGACTTTAAATGATCATGAATATTCAGTTTTAAATATTTACTCAAATCAATTGATTAAATAATTAATATTGGAGTTTCTAATATAATTATAAATTTTTTTACAAGTAAATCAGACCTTGAAACTTTTGAACATCTTTGAACCGATTTCAATTAACAAATTCAAAAGTTATCATCTCAGTTTTGAATCAAATCATTGAATTTTAGAATTATGAATAGGAATTTTCTACTGTAGGTTGATATCAATAAACTTTATTTCAATTAAACAGTATTTTGCATCAAATATTTCTAGCAGAATTTTTTTTCAGATTTACTCTGTTTTTGGCAGGGGGGAAATAATATTATAAAAATGGCCTAAATAAAAAATAGACAACATTAGAAGTATGGAGTATTAAAAGACAAAACAACAAGAATAGAGAAAATTAGCATGAAAAAAGTAAAGAAAAAATATTTTATGCTACACTTCTACATGAGGTGACAGGGTTTTTATAAATAAATAAATTCCTGAAAGTTAAAAATGAATTACAACGGAAATATTTTAATTCATGAGAAATTTTCTAGATCCGACAAAATCTTATTTTCCTTCAAATCTTCGACAATATTTTCTCTGAGTTTATAAATTAAAATACTCCAGGATTCAATGAAATGAAGTAGAGGTAAAAGTTGAAAACTTTCCTTTCCACTAAACTATTTTCCCTTGTGGATTCGACCCTCCCCCCTCCT